GTGGCGTCCGGCAGGCGCGGCTGCAGGCGGCAGCGGCGGCGCGGCACGCGCGTGGAACCGCCTGCATGCATGCGCGCCTCGGGCGTCGTGATTGGCGGCCGACACGCCACACGACGGGTGTGGGATTGCGTGGGGTCGGGGGACGTGGGGGTGGGGCCGGCGCGGCGCGGAAGACGACGCGTTGACTGCGAGCGGCCGGTTCAATTTTTTTCCCTCCCGGGCGGCGGCCTGTATTCATATACGTATACCTCCGTCTGTTTTTTTTTGCAGGCGGGCGGGCCGGCATGGGAATCTTTTTTAAAATATGCCCATCCTACCCTTTGTTATGAAGGGGTATTGGGCAATCTCAGCCCTCCTTGTGTTTACAGGGGGTCTACCGAAGCGAAAGTGTTTATGTCATCAGGCATTATATAAGCGTTTTTTATTTTCTTATTACCAGATGAGTGCTCAAGAATATTATTGTCAGGTTCTGAGCGAGGATTCCTATGGCACATGGGAGCATAGTGACTCCAAAAGACTAGGTGACATCTTCGCTAAATTCACGTGCTCATATTTTAGAACACAAACGACCACAGAGAAAGCAAAAAAACAGCATATAATATATTCTATACATTATATTATATTACTAATACTAGAAAGGTAATAAGATGAGGGCGTATAGCTATTGGATTATGCATGGGATGGCCGGTAAAAGAAGAAAACAAGAAAGAACACAATATGGAACAAGGAACAACAGAAGAAGAACCGAAAGCGAGCTATGAACAAGAAGCCAGCAGCAAGAACTTAGCGCCCATCACCACTAGGCAGACCCGCGGGAGATAGCTTTGTTGGTTCACTGGAAAGGAAATCCGCCACGGGGAAGACGAAGAGAAGAAGTCGCCTACTGCCCTGTGATCCCTCCTCTCCTAGAAAAATTTGGAAGTCGCAGGTACTATCGAAGGGCATCTCACTGCCTTACATGTCAACCGAGAGTGCAAAGAAGCAACATGTCGACTAAGCTCTCCCAACACAAAGTCCAAATACTAGCATTCCCTAAGTCAATAATGTAAGTGACTTTAGCAACTTTAGAAGACGAAAACCCATAGGGTATGCACCTGCCCAGCCGTGTTAGCCACCCGATTGCCTCGCAATCCGCAAAATAGTTGGATTCCACACGATGGTCCAACAAGTTTTATGTTTTGTTTTTGAAACTTACGATTTTGTCGGCCGCCACTGCTGAAACTTACAATTTTGTCAGTCTCTTTTACCAAGTTTCAGATTTGAAACTTAAAACTTACGATTTTGTCGGTCGCATGTACCAAGTTTTAGAAGTTAAAACTTAATGAAATTTTAAAAACTCATCAAAACATATTCAAAATGGATCGCATCTGAAAGGCCTCGTCACCAGAAACACGAATATGGGAATGAAGCTTAATTTGACTTTCAGTTCAAAAGATACGAAAGATTGAAATCGAAAGTCAAAAGAAAAAGAGGGAGACGTGCCCTGTACATACGTGCTTTAAATCCCCTCTCTTTAGAGGAGAGTGTTAAACAATTGAGTTGCAACTTTCAGGTGGAATTGTATATTTTTTATGTTGGTTTCAGAGTGGATTTTTAGCGTGAAATTCTATGATAGGTTTATGGTTTACATCATACTATGTCATCAGGCCTTATATAAGCTTTTTTTTTTTACTTTCTTATTACTAGATGGCCGCTCAAGCACATTATTGCCAGGTTCTGAGCGAGGATTCCCATGGCACATGGGAGCATAGTGACTGCAAAAGACTAGGTGAACATCTTCGCTAAATGCACGTGCTCATCTTTTAGAACACAAACGACCACAGAGAAAGCAAAGAAACAGCATATAGTATACACTGTTGGTAGCTTGAACCTTCAGATTGATATTTCGCCATGCAGCCTGATATTTTGCCATGCACTTTTGTTATCCACACAACACCCTGTCAACAAATCGCTTTTGATCCTCCAGCACATTGTCAGGTGATAGATCGGAAGGAACACTTGAGCCGTATCATGTGTGCATCGTGTTGCATTCGTTGCCGTGGGATAATTGTTTGTTTATTGCTTGCACGATCTGAGACTCTGAGCACAGTACTTGAATCCTAACGAACTGGGAAGCAACTTACCTGGAGATAAGATCCTGCCAGATTAGAAAGATGCAGATTGATTTCCCTGGTCATGTGCTGCTGGCTGCGCCAGCTAGACCCCCCTCACTCACGTGACACTTATTTTCATCACATTCTGCAGTGTTTGTGTCGAATGAGATCTGTAGTACTGCAGAAAACAAAAACAAAATTAGTGTGTGCTCCGTACAAAACCCACATGTTTTCCTACAGAAAACTAAAAAAAAACTCCAGATATTTGGCTGTAGTTCTAGGAAACTGAACATTCAATTAGACCCCTTTGTCTGCGGAGGCAGAGTTTGGTCTCGTATCAGAAGTACTCTCTCCGTCCAAAAATAAGTGTCTTGAGCTTGGTATAAATTTGTACTAGAGCTAGTACAAAGGTTAGACACTTATTTTGGAACCGGCGCTAAGAAATTAGAGAATGCTTTGAGAATGCTTTGCAGGGACCGGCGCTAAGAAACAATAGCAACAGACACAGTTTTCACAAATAGCACCGCCCACGCGCACTAACTAATTGACAAACCAGCTAATGTACTCCTACATATGGCCGTCGAACCAATGACTATCGATCGGACAATCATCATCATGCGCGTATGCCTTGAGCAAGCAAGCTAAGTTTTTTCTTTCCCTTATGCCACGTTTACATGCTGAAAAGCACTGATCGCTGCGGGACATCGCCATCACATAAAGTTGATCAACATGTGAACTAAAGGCATTGCATCACGATCAATGATCGGTTCATCAACTGTTGCTGGTTTCTTGGAGGCCAACCACCACCACGAATGCACCTCCAAAAAGCTAGGATTCTCTTAGTATTTCTGCTGTATAAATCATCAAATGAATTAACGGGAGGTCAATCCAAATTACTGCAATTTAAGAATCTTATTTCCTTTTTTCTTTCAGGAAGTTGAGAATCTTATTTTGAAGAGCTTACACATTACCTTTTCAACTTTGTGAATTAGAGGAATACCGGAAGCATCCGAAAGAGCTCGTGATTTTAGTGCCTGTAGTGCCGGATAATTCGCGAAACAATGACATGGAATGGTTGCTCAGGAACATATCCAGCAATGGAGTCCTTTGCGTGATTCATCTGATACCATGATACCATTTTGTGGGGTCATGTTCCATGTGAAAACCATACATTTTCGTGTTACCGTTCATAGTGCCCTAGCTAGCAGTGGTCATGATTTTGATGAAGTTTTCCAAGTGCTAGAAGTTGACATAGCACTGAATTGAAGGTTAAACACTGCTATTCAAATATTTTCATACTTCACATCAGTTTGTCCTTATAATGGTGGATTGTAAATGTGTCGTAGTGGTGGCAGCTATGTATGCTTTCCACTTGATTTGCGCACCCGCGTGCATTGAGGTTCTTATGTTCCACACATTTATAACTAAACAACTACTTTTAGAGCAAGTACTTGGTTTGTTTATAATCTTTGGTCAGCTTTCCATGTAAAATTCTCTTTCTGCACTCAACATGTCACTTGACATGATCATTGGAAGAAGGAAACCATCCGTCAACACCACACCAGAAAAATACATGATTCATGGTGGGTTTTGATACATCACTGGTTTTCTGTGCCATTAGTTGACACTAATCACCCATGCACAAACCCAATAACTTGCATTGCATCATGTCTACCTGAAAACATCCCTGTCTCTGCAGATTTGTGTCACAATTAGAGTGACAGGTGCACATACGCCTTGCAGACATTAACGTACCATTATCTATGGTACATCTTGTGATATAAATTGTTAACACCGGGATCACAGTAGTATAGTAGCGCGAACTAACAAGAACATGCTGATTGGAATTTGGAAGTAATTAGTATGCATGTGTGTCTACAGTGTGTGACCCCTCACCAGAAGATAACTTAGCTCCTAGCTAGATAGCTAGTGTTTTGGTTAGATGATCAATAATTCATTCATTAGGCACCTAATCCGTTTGGTAAGCATGGTGTTTGACGCGTGTCACGGGAAAATCTATTTCTTAATCTACAGCGAATCGTCGAGCAGATTAAAGGGGATCATGGGTTGATTGTCCATTTGCTTGGCCTGACGTTTGTGTTCATGTACCGATTTGATCTGCTTGGTTTTTTATTTCTCTCCTTTTCGGTTACCATTTGAGTAGAAGATTAAGGTGGTAAGATCTGTCGGCTCATGGGCAGCCCACTGACAGCGACACGCCAGGAAGAGTATGTTGTACTGCCATCATTCTAGTTTGTTAAGCACCGTGGAGTCCAAAGTGTTAATGTGTGAGTTATTTAGTAGAGCTTTTCTAGCTCGAATGATGTAACAGTGCATCATTGTAGAGGCCGGGTGTAACTAATATCATCTTAATATTAGTATTACCCTTCATTAAGAAAGACATAAACATTTTGGATGCATCGTTCAAGAGGAGAGCACAAATGAAACACAATCTGCACGCATGTGGCACCAGGGGCGGAGCCAGGATTTGACCATGGGGGGAGGGGGGGGGGAAGAAGACAATGAAGTTTTTTTTTTTGACAATGACCATACTAAGAGGAGCATAAGATAATATGTATTTTCAATTAGAATTTGGCTCGTGGCT